AACATGAGTACTGGCTGAAGGTACATTATAACGTTATCATGATGTGTTCACATGTCATCTGTAAAATGTAGTTTTGGTGATAAACTAGAATAAATCCAGTAGTTTGAAGGAGATGTTTTCACATGAATATAAAACAGATATTAAAGATGAATTATGGATCTGGATCTGTTAATATGGATCATCAATGATCAATAATTAGTATCGGCAGCAATAGAATGTGATCATGGATCTAAAAGTTAGATTTTCTCTCTTCTTTCTTTTGTTCCGTTGCTCCACTAACATTGAAACTGTAAATGTTTATTTTCTCTGAGAGACGTCGTTTGTGTGTTTTCAGGACATAACTAAGGAGAGGAGTTCTCGGTTCGACACTCTGCGTCACTCTCTGGCCGGGATGATCCGATCTCCTAAAGCCATGCTGGGCTCCTCCACCTCGGTGAGACTTATCTCCTGTGAAGACTCACGTCGGCTGCTTTACTACAGCGGAATGAACCCAAAATAAACTACTTCTGCTGTGATTTAACTGCAGCAAACAGATGAAAAGATGCTTAAATAATGACATGATGATTTGTAAAATGTCTGAATTCATGTTTTGTTAGTTCTTTCTACAAGACGACAAGCAAACAACTTTTAAAATGCATATTTTCTGAATGGAGTTTGGATCAGCCTATCAGTGCTATGCTAAGCTAACATTTTAGCAGCTCCATCAACACTCAACATAACGTCATCTAGGCGTAAATACGGCAGCGTTATTGTTTGTACCGTATGGTTCATACACATGCATATATAAATAGTTTATCTTAATAGGAGATATCAAAGAGATCTGGGAACACTTGAACTCGATGGAAAACATCACGAGGTCAAAGAGAGACGTGACCCTCGTCGACCATCATTCATCAGATGCTGTCACATGTTTTTGTCAATAAAGATCGTTTGAATTCAAACTGACACACTTTGTTCCTCCCTGCAGCAGTTCTTCGATGTGATCCCGACGTCGGGGCGCCCCCTGGCGGAGCAGGAGTGGTACCACGGCGCCATCCCCCGCACCGAGGCTCAGGAGCTACTACGGCAACAGGGAGACTTCCTGGTGAGGGAGAGTCACGGTAAACCGGGCGAGTACGTCCTGTCGGTGTTTTCTGACGAGCAGCGGAGACACTTCATCATCCAGTACGCCGACGTATGTACACACATTACTACATAAATATGAATACAATGAAAGAATGCACTGTAAAAGATGACACGTTAACCGTCTCTCTCTCTCTCTGGTAGAGTCAGTACCGTTTCGAGGGGACGGGTTTCTCCACCATTCCTCAGCTCATCGAGCATCATTTCTCCACCAAACAGGTCATCACCAAGAAGTCTGCAGTCGTGCTGCTCAACCCCGTCATTAAGGCAACCGCTTCTTTCTACATATTCACACACACACACAGCTATTCTGAGCAAAGACGTGTCGTCTAATACTAAAGATGATGAGTATAACTGTTGTATAATGAACTAAAACAGAATCAGTGTATGTCAGCTGTGGAAGGGAAATGTAATTATTTCCATTATTTTTAGGTTTCTTGACAAAACATCTGTAATTATATAAAGTAAGAACTGATCATCTAACATACTAAATACACACATGACTATCTAACACACACATAGATGTTCCTGCTTCATGAGTTAGTTCTTCTGTCTGCAGGATAAGAAATGGATCCTGAACCACGAGGACGTGGTGCTGGGGGAGCTGCTGGGAAAGGTGACCTCACTTCCTGTTTCCTGTTATCAAACCACTTCACTACAGTTCTGTAATGTTTTTTCTGTTATTTCAGTTTGTAACATTTTGCCCTCACTGTGTCTCTCTCTCTATGTCCCATCATGCCTTGCGGTCTGCTGGTTGCCAGGGTAACTTCGGCGAGGTGTTCATTGGGACGCTACAGCGCGACAAAACACCAGTGGCTGTTAAAACGTGTAAAGAAGATTTACCTCCAGAGCTGAAGATCAGGTTCCTGTCTGAGGCCAGGTCAGCATCGCTCAATGCATCGCTCAATACATCCATCAATAGATCCATCAATACATCCATCAATAGATCCATCAATACATCCATCAATA